CCTGTGTGTTTTGAAAAGTGTTCCATCTTTTAAAAGTTTAGCTTATTTTTGTGTATATGTACATAGTATTTTTTTTAACATATACACAATCTTAATAGAAACACAAAGATCAGCATTGACACTAAATAAATTGGTAAAGGTAATTGTGGGAAAATGTTCCTTTTTTATATATATTTTATTGATTTTTTACAGCGAGGAAGGGAGAGGGATAGAGATCATCGATGAGAGAGAAGCATCGATCAGCTGCCTCCTGCACACCCCCTACTGGGGATGTGCCTGCAACCAAGGTACATGCCCTTGACCGGAATCAAACCTGGGACTCTTCAGTCCACAGGCCGACGCTCTATCCAATGAGTCAAACGGTTAGGGCAGAAAAATGTTCTTTTGAATAAGGAATTATTTGATGTCTTAAATTTTATTTTTCTTCCAACTTCGTAAATATAACATTAAGTTCTTTTTAAAATATATATATTTTATTGATTTTTTACCGAGAGGAAGGAAGAGGGAGAGAGATGGAGAGTTAGAAACATCGATCAGCTGCCTCCTGCACACCCCCTACTGGGGATGTGTCCGCAACCAAGGTACATGTCCTTGACCAGAATCGAACCTGGACCCTTCAGTCCACAGGCCGACGCTCTATCCGCTGAGCCAAACCGGTTAGGGCTAACATTAAATTCTTGAGTTTGTTTGGTATGCTACCAGTAATGAAAAATATTTATTGATAAAATGGACTGGGAGTCAGGAGATTTGGATTCTAGCTCTGATTCTGTGATACAGTGTTTCTTACCTGACTTACAAATCTCCAAGTGCCTTTCTAAGTCTCCTTTAATCCTATAAAATTTAATTTATAATCAGTTTCGTTGTGAGAGGGAAATCTTGTGAATTGTGATCAGAAATCAACTCATAAGTCATCATTCTGGCATGCATTTGAAGGAAGTCATGTAAATAAGTAAAATTACATGTTTTTTAGTGTGTGAAAGAACTGTTCTTGTTGCTAACCTTTATAAACCAAGAAAAAAAAAGGGAGTTCCATGGCTTTTGGCCCTATTAAATGCATTACAATGAGAAAGATTTCAGAGAAGACACATAAAAGGATAGAAATAGCGTAATCCTAGGCATCAAATTCTTTTTGTTTTATAGCTAATCTCCTATGTCTTAAGTGTTCTATATGACTTTAGTAAAGTGAGGAAAAAGAACATATATATATATGTATTCTAGATCTTGGAAATATAGCTTGAGCACTTATACACACACTTTTTTTTTTAACTTATAGTTTAGGACAGGGGTCCTCAAACTACGGCCCGCGGGCCACATGCAAATACAAATATTCCCGTTTTGGTTTTTTTACTTCAAAGTAAGATATGTGCAGTGTGCATAGGAATTTGTTCATAGTTTTTTTTAAACTATAGTCCGGCCCTCCCAACAGTCTGAGGGGCAGTGAACTGGCCCCCTGTTTAAAAAGTTTGAGGACCCCTGGTTTAGGATATAAGATTTGGAGCTCTGGGCAGCCTGAGTTTGAATCCCAGCTTCCCTATTCATTAATTGTGTTACCTTGGGCAAGTTTACTTCAGCTGTCTCAATTTCATTTGTGAAATAGGCACAATGAACTAAATAGGGTGATTTTGATGATTAGGTGAGGTAATGCATGTAAAGCTCTTAGTATAATATCTGAAAAGTAGTAATGACCCACTAATTATTAGACTTAATAATTGTCAGAATCCAGAGAACAAAATGCTGGATGCTGACTTCCTTTAAGTGAAATGGATGATTAATACATAAAATGTTCTGTTCCCCATTTGGATAGTCACAGGGTTATTATTCTTACCTCAAAAAATGGCCCATAATTAAGATTATGATGTATATGTCTTATCTGTAAAGGAAGTGAGGATATCTTGACCAGGGTATATCTAGTGTTTAGAGTATTATTAAGGACAAAATAAACCACCAGGGAATGCACATTCACAACAGAATAGTTAAATTTCTAAAGTACATTTAAGGGCATATTGATCTGAATTCTTAAAAGTAGGTACTCTTTAGGACAGTACTTTGGTATGAAACAGAAATGTTAAGTATTTTTTGAAAATAAAATGTTAATTGCTATATAAATTTATATGATTTAACTTAATTTTACTCATGATTAGATTGATAGTGGAAATAGTGTTGGAGCAGCTCAACTAAGAAAGTAATTTCTTTTATGAAGACTTGTAAAATTTCCTAGAAATTTGAAGCCATATGATACTTTTTGGCATATTTTAGATATCTGAAGTCACTTTGTTAGTTTAGAAACATACAAATATCCCTAGACAGTTTGGCTCAGTGAATAGAGCATCAGCCCTTGGATTGAAGGGTTCTGGGTTCGATTGTGGTCAAGGACAAGCCTGTTGCAGGCTTGATCCCTGACCCTTGTAGGGGCACATGTGGGAGGCAACCAATTGATGTGTCTGTCACATCAATGTTTCTCTTTCTCTGTCTCCCCCCCTCCCACTCTCTCTGAAAATCAATGGGGGGAAATAAACATACAAATCAATCATGCATAAACTATCCAAGTATTTTTTAATTGAATTCATTGGGGTGACATTGGTTAATAAAATTATATAGATTTTAGGTATACAATTCTATAATATATCATCTGTATATTGTGTTTACTACCTAAGTCAAGTCTCCTTCAGTCACCACTTATCCCCCTTTTCCTCTGGTAGTCATCATACTGTTTATATTGTCTGTGTCTATGAGTTTTGTTTTTTGCTTAATCCCTTCACCTTTTCACCCAGTCCCCCAAATCCCTTCCCTTCTGACAGCTGTCAGTTTATTCGCTGTATCTGTAGTCTGTTTCTATTTTGTTAGTTTACTTATTTTCTTATTTTGTTCATTAGGTTCTACATATAAGTGAAATCATATGGTAGTTTTAAATCATGCTTGGTCCATTTGGGATATGAAAGTCTGTAAGACTAGTCCACATGCTGTTTTCCTTGCCAAGTTTTTCTCTACTTAGTGGGGACTGTCACAAAGAAAAACTGTTTTTTCCTACCACATTCTATAGAACAGATTTGAATTTAGACAATGTATTTCTCCTTTTTTGAGCTTCCATTTTGTTTCATATATTACTGAATTGTTGAATTTGTCATTCAAAAAATGATGACAGTCATTTTTTATTGAGAATAAACTTTGTCAAGTTTTCTTTTATTTTCCTTTACTTATATCAGTGCTTACAATTCTGATTACTGGCATGATACAGTTAGAGTAATGAGCAAGGTAGATATATTTATTGCTCTCATGGAGGCTATAATAGACTAGAGGCCCGATGCACAAAATAAATGCAAGAATAGGCCTTCCTTCCCCCAGCTGCCGGCACCGGCTTCCCTCGTGGCCCCAGCTTAGTTCGGAAGGTTGTCCTATCTAATTAGCATATTATTCTTTTATTATTATAGATTATTGAGTATTTTCATATAGTGCTAATTAGGGTGGGGTTTTTTGTGAGTGCTTTATTTTTTTCCCTACTACTCATCCCAGTCAGTGTCTTTATTGCATAATAACTATGTTAATGCTCTTCCTTTAAAATTTTTTTTTTAGTGTGTGATCCCACAGTAGTGTGACCATTTGATACTCATTCTGTATCATACAGACACTTTTGTAAAAATATATATGGACTGGTGAATGGTTGGATGGATGGATATATCATTTGACATCATGACCTTAAAACTATGTAGAGAAAACACAGTAAAAACAACTTATTCGCTGTTGCTGTATAGTATCTTTAAGAGTATGTGTAAGAGCCTGGTCGGTGTGGCTCAGGGTTGAATGTTGACCTATGAATCAGGAGGTCAAGGTTTGATTCCTGGTCAGGGCACATGCCTGGGTTGTGGACTTGATTCCCTGTAGAGGGGGTGCAGGAGGCAGCTGATCAATGATTCTCATCATTGATGTTTCTGTCTCTCCCTCTCCCTTCCTTTCTGAAATCAATTTTTAAAAATTCCTATAAAAAAGGAGTATGTATAAGAGAACACTGTTTTCATAAGTATTTTGTGACATTTATTGATTATAAGTGTTTTGAAAGAATGGTAATAAGTTATCTATAGTGAAAAATAAGTGGTTCCTTTTATGTTTGGGGGAAATTTATATGTGTATATACTTGATATTTGAAATTTATGAGTAAGTTAAACTATTTCATGCATAAAGTAGAAATTTGAGGTTATTAAACCAGCAATCCACTGGTCTAAGAATATTTGACTTAAGTATTTTAGAAATTCAATAGGGTGTGGAATAGTTGGAGGAGTGGAGAATAAAAACCTTTATTATCTTTGTGCCAGATGCTGTGCTTAGAACCTTTTCCATGTGTTGTCTGTGTGGCATGTGGCATATAGTGGTTACTTAGGATAGTTAAATTTCTTTGTTCTACAAATGAGAGAACTGAGCTTATGTTTGGTTAAGTAATTGATTTACCCAGGGTCTCCATAAAGCCAGAAAATGCTAGATAGGATATTTGCATTCTGGTTTGACTCTAAAATTTCACATCTTTTCACTAATTTTTTTTAATAAATGTCCTACCACTTGTTGATAATACAAAGTGCCAGTGGATGCAACATATCTAACTGTAGTACTAAACACCAAATGGAATCATTTTCTTTTATAGACACCTAAATGTTTTATTCACTGTTTTTATGCTTTATCAGTTAGGGTGTAAACAGTTTGGTGAAATAAATGGTCCCCTGTTTCAGTGTAACATAAAGTAGGAGTTAAGTATATGGGCAAGTTCATATGAGAGTCTAAGCAGTTTAGGTTGCCTAATGTAGCATCCCTAAGATTTGCAAAATTATAACATTGTTTGCATGTTTAATGTGAGGTGCTTATTGCTAAAGGATTTGGGCAACTGGTTTTAATTTTTCTTTAGTGAATCAATAAGTATCTCTTCTGCATATCACAAAGTAAGATAATCTTGAAGCCTTTGAAAATTTTATGTAAAAGCCCACAAAAATATAAGAAACTACATTTAAGATTCCATCTTAAAATTAATATTTTTTATTTTAGCACTTTTTCAGCCATTAACTCCAGGATCTCGTGAATTTGAAGATGTTTTAAATATTCTCCACTCATCTTACCTTGAACCAACCTCAGTAACAAATTTTAACTACAAATGTGCTTGCTTGGTACATAATGAGCTTTTGGAAAAGGAGGTATGTTTTAAATTGTAATTGTCAGATTCTACAGAATCAATTAGTAGCCTGGAATTGGTTTTATTTTTCTTTTCTTTAGAAATGCTAAAGTTTTTGCCTAGCCAGAGTGACTACTGGTTTAGTGTTGTCCTGTGCACTGAAAAGGTTCCATTACCAGTCAGGGCACATGCCTGGGTTCTAGGTTCAATCTCCAGTTGGGGCATGTACAGAAGGTGGCCATCGATGTTTCTCTCACATCAGTGTTTTTCTCTCTCATATCAATGTGGTTTTTTTTTTCTCTCTCTTTACCTTCCTCTCTCTCAGCATGACCTTGAGTGAGGATTAAAAAAAGAAAGCTAAAGTTTTTAGGAAAGCCAAATTATGGAAGGGAACACACTTAGTTTTAAATGACATCTTTTAAACTATATATTATGCCTAAATTGGAGCGTAATGAAATCAAGTGTATTTTTTTTTTAGGCTATGCTTAATTTCCCCCCCATTGATTGATGTTTGGATTATCTTTTTTTTTTAAATATATTTTATTGATGTTTGTCAGAAACATCCATGAGAGAGAAACATCCAATCAGCTGCCTCCTGCACACCCCCTACTGGGGATGTGCCCGCAACCAAAGTACATGCCCTTGGCTGGAATCGAACCCGGGACCTTTCAGTCCGCAGGCCGACACTCTATCCACTGAGCCAAACCGGCCAGGGCTGGATTATCTTATTAGTTGAAATTCTTAGTGAAAAAAGTGTGAATGGGGGAAACAGTTAAGCATGTTAGATAGTGAATTTACATTTCATGTATGTATTAGAATATTCTTTGAATTTTGATTTAGGAAAAGCCAACATGTAATTCTGAAGTAATGCAAATGAGGTGTTTAGAAATATTTGATGTATTTATTGCTTTCTAATGTACATGCAATACTATTAATTTTGTACTCTTAAGTTGGTTAACTCAGTGCTACCAAAATTTAACTTTGAAAGGACCTTTAATGTTACTGACTCCCAGAGAAAATGAAAACCTTGGTAGTTTGATGTGGTTTCATTTTATGATAGATTATTTGTTAATTTTATATGAAAATTGAGTCTATAGATTCTCTGATTATATTATTAAAGATCAGTAATGGCCTGCATACTACATATAAATCTATTAGATATTTTGAATGTATCAATCTTGTATCTTTAGATACAAGCAAAAGCCAGCAGTTTCGGGTGACTTAGAGTTCAGATGTACTTACACCAAGTCGCTTTTTATCCTGGAAATATGTTTGGAGCATGTTTTATGTATGTAGCATTGAGAATACACTTATAAACAAATGAAACATTTTTTCTTGTCTAATTGAGTTTATAATTTAGAAGTGGGTCATTCAACAGATTTATTAAAGCACTTACTCTTTGCAGTGCACCATTTTAAAATGAGTGATCCAAAGTTAACTAAAACATGAACTTAAAAATATATTAGTTGGAGTTGTAAAATTTTAATAGAAATTAAGTTAAAATTGATAAATACTAGATGCTCATTTGACTATATTGTGAAGGTAAAAAACCAATTAAAACAGTAAAAAAATGGGAGCACAGAAATTATAAGGAGAGAAAAGATAATTTGTACTTTAGTAGGTTTGGGTTTTTTTAGAAATAAAATTACTGAAACTCTTAGCTTAAAAAATATAATTACATGCTACAGAGCTGTTTATAGTTTTAATTTCACTTAGTTTACAGAAAAGCGAAGAGAACTGAAGTCTGATGGCCGTTCAGATAAAGAACTTTCAGAATCCTATGCATTTTTGATGGTTGATCGCTATCAGGTAAGTGATTCATTTAAAAAAAGCAATTTGAGAATGTTCTCATTACTAATTTTTTATTTATTCAGTGGTACACTTGATAATTATAAGTAACATTTTCTTGATGTACAAGTAGAAGAAATAATTTAGTGAGGCAAAGCTATTTCATTGTTTTGTAATTTGTTTTTCAAATGTGCTCATTTTTTTTTGACAAAACCTATTTTTTTTTTACTTTAGAATGTGCTTGATAATGTATAATTTTCCCTTTATTAAAATATATTATCTCCTTTATTGTTGGTTATATGTGCTTGGAACCAGTTTTTCATCTTCAATTGAAGATTCTTTTAAAAATATTTTTATTGATTTCAGAGAGGAAGGGAGAGGGAGAGAGAGGTAGAAACATCAATGATGAGAGAGAATCATTGATTGGCTGCCTTTTGCACACCCGTACTGGGGATTGAGCCTGTAAGCGGGGCATGTGCCTCCTGTTCATAGGTCTACGCTCAAACACTGAGCCATGCCGGCCAGGCTTTAGTTGAAGATTTTTAGGCAGAGTTACTTTCTCTTTAAATAGTTTCAATTCACTCTAAAATGGTTGCTTATATATGAGCAATATGAATTCTGAGTATCTAGCATAAACAAAACTGGATTCCAATTATGGTTACATTGGAAGTGTAAGCCAGTTTCACATTAATATTTTGTCATAAACTGTCTTACATATAAAATTTCTTCAATGTTAAAAATACATAGTTTAGAAGCTTAGATTTTATTTAAAACAAGTTTACAAAATATCTTTTCACACTTTTAATATATTATGATTGCAAGATGAAGTGTTTTGTTTATTTAGGTTCAAAGCATATGTGAAAAAGGACTACAGGTGGGCCAGTCCAAAATAACAATTCTTGGCAGTCCTTCCATGGGTAATCTTTTTTCTTTTTTCATTTGTGTACTATGAAGTTGCCATTTAAAAATATATTATTTAATTTTACTGCAATTCTTATAATTACATTTATGTACTAGAAGCCTGGTGCATGAAATTTGTGCACTGAGGGTTGGGGAGTTCTTCCTCAGCCTGGCCTGCACACTGTCCAATCCAGGACCCCTCAGGGAATGTCCAACTGCCGGTTTAGGGCCTGCTGGCCTGATCGCCCTAACTGCTCCCCCCTGCTGGCCTTATCCCCCTAACTGCTTTCCCTGCTGGCTTGATCCCTAACTGCTCTCCCCTTCCGGCCTGATCCCTAACTGTTCTCCCCTGCTGGCCTGATCCCTAACTGTTCTCCCCTGCTGGCCTGATTCCCCTAACTGCTCTCCCCTGCTGACTTGATCGCCCCTAACCGCCTCTGCCTTGGCCCCACCACCATGGCTTTGTCTGGAAGGATGTCTGGTCTAATTAGTATATTACCCTTTTATTAGTTGTCATAGTCCCAGAAAAGGAGACTGATGTTAGGTTTTGTGATGTGAAACCAGTTTTATTATTTGTTTCTGATTTTTGCATGCTATCCAAATTGATTTTAAGTATCTTTTTTTTTTTTTTGGTCTTAGTCGAGTACTAGTAGATTTTGAAATTTTTTATTTGTTTCATGTTTTATTCTGGTTTTATTTTTGCCTTGGTGAAATATAAGTGATCTTCACTGTCATTACATTTTTTAAAAAGGTGTTGGTCATATCATTTATTTCTTATCATTAGATTAAATATTTGTATTTTTTTGTATTCGTGTCAAATTTAAATTAAAAACATTTTTTCCTCTTTACTAGGTATCTATCTTTCTAGGTATCCTGATTTGTTACAGGCTAATCCTTTGGAAGCTGGGACAGTGGGTGATGTTGTTATTTTTAAAATAATGAAGGTAATTTCAACTTTTACATTTCATATATCAAAGACAACATTTGATTTGGATTTTAGTTGACCCTGTTTTTAGGAGATTAAATTAAAAAACAGCTTGCCTGTGTTTGGTATAGAAAGATACTTTTGAGAGTGATTTGCCATCTTTGATGTAAGCTTACTGTATTTTAGAGTTTGCCTTTCCAAAAATATAGAATGAAGAAAGGAGGGTAATATATTGGTAATGTTATTTAGGCTAGTGAAAAGTGTTGTGAATAAAATTTTTTCTTTGTTATAAAATAAATTCAAACAACACTTTTTTTATGGTTAACTTTTTCTTCAATATTTGCAAAATGTGTTGGGTGATACTTTATTGTCAGATATTAAAGAAAAAAACTGTTATAGGTGATCTATATCTTAAGAAATATTCTATAATTATATAGTCAATACTTAGGTTTGGGTGGACTTAAAATGTTTTCTCTGTTTTAGGGTAAAATAAAAAGTATATATGACCCCATGGGTGTAAAAAGTTTGGAATCTAAAAGTGCTTTGGATCCAACACCAAAGCATGAATGTCATGTGTCGAAGAATGCCAGTAGAATTACATCACTTTTGGCTTACCGAGCCTATGAGCTTACTCAAGTAAGTACCTGAACCCATTTTAGTGTTATGACCTAATATCTGTTTGTCACCAAATCCTTTAAAATGCCCCATTTTCAATTCCCTCTGCCACCACACCAGTCTAGGCTCTGGTTTCCACATATTACTGCCAGACTCCAGTGTCTTGGCTGTTTGTTCAATGTTTCCAAGACAACTTAGAAATATATACTTACAGATTATATTCAGAGTCCTTAGCCTAGCTCACCCTGCCTGAACACTGTTATTTCCATCTTGTTTTTTTTGCTTGTTTCTTTTTCTTTTGTATGAGCTCTGCCCTTAACCTCATTTCATTTGAAATTTTGGCTTTTCTTGGCCTAGAAAGTTTTTGCCTAATAAAATACTACTCATCCTTCAAGGTAGAGTTGAAGCCCCTTGAAATACCTTAATTCATACTATTTTGTACTATTGACTTGATAAAATATTTTCTACTTTTATTAACTTTTTAAGATGCAAACTTAGAATTAATTTTTAACCTTTACTCAGATATAATTGATACACAGTAAACTACACATACTTGAAAGTGTTCTAATTGATAAATTTTAGTCTTTGTGTTTTATATGATGTTTGACTATAAAGTAAGGTAATTTTTAAATTAAAATAATGTTTCTAACAAATGTGCAGGAGGCAGCCGATTGATACTTAAATAAAAAAACTTAATTTTTTCTTTCTGAAGAATCTCAGTGTGCAAGATCTGTTGGTGGGGGCTTTTAGCAAAAATGATATTCACCAAAGTTGTCTGGACTCATTTGATTACCTTCTAGACAGGGGTAGTATTGGTAGATAAGAGATATAAACTTATAGTAATTACTAGAGGCCCGGTGCACAAAAATTTGTGCACTTGGGGGTAGAGGGTCCCTCAACCCAGCCTGTGCCCTTTCGCAGTCTGGGACCCCTCGGGGGTGACCACTTGCTGGCTTAAGACTGCTCCCCGGGGGATTACTAATTTTGTATCCCCAGTGTCTGACATCCCTCTGGCAGCCCTCAGGGGATGTCCACTTACCAGCGTGGAGCAGGACTAAGCTGCAGTCGGACATTCTTAGGACTGCTGAGGAGGCGGGAGAGGCTCCCACCACCACTGCTGTATGGGCAGCCGTCAGCCTGGCTTGTGGCTGAGCAGAGCTCCCCCCAGTGAGAGCGCACTGACCACCAGAGGGCAGCTCCTGCATTGAGCATCTGTCCCCTGGTGGTCAGTGTGTGTCATAGTGACCAGTGATTCCCAGTCATTCTGCTGTTACGGTCAATTTACGTAT